TTATCGTGCCCCCAACGTTTTGCAAAATTTATGAACGATTTGATAGGTCCTACCGATGCCTAACCGGGACCCTTTATCTATAACTAATTTTCCTAGATCGTAGCCTCGAGTTACTTCTTAGATATTCGTTCGTACAGAGACTCGAGTCGCTCATAGAGAGATCCTCATTTCGTATACAGTCTCTGGAGAGACTTAAATCTCTGAACGAGAGACTCGAATCTCTCAATAAGTGATGTCTCGATAGACATGGTTAAAATTTTCTAAGTTGAACATATTTCAGAAATCCCAGTCTTTCTACGACAGACTCGAGTCTCTCAATTTTTCAGTTTATCCATTCAGTCTCTCTGTGAAAGACTCGAATCTCTGAATTAACAATTTTATCGTTTGAGTCTTTCATACAGAGACTGTGAGAGATCCATAAAAACACCTAAAAAATAACTGAGAGACTGTGAAAGACGCTCTCCGTGACGCTAAAAGACTGAAAGACTCTGAGAGACTGGAAAGAGAAATTTTTGTCTAGGGGAATTCAAAAACTGTGATTTTTTGGATCATTTTACCTTGGAAAAGATTCAGAAGTATGGAGGGTTAAAGTGAGAGGGGTAGTATCCAATTAAGACTAAATACTCATAAAGGATAACATTTTATCATTTAATCTATGTATAATCTTTAGTTAAAAGAAAAGCATTTTTTCTAAGGGTTCCACGGAATTACATAGACATTATACAAATCTATTCAATTTTCTAACTATTAATAGTCCCTACATTCACGACCGAGAACCATTTTCTATTACCTTTCTCAATGGTACAAAGACCTTGAAAACCTTCCTGCCATAACCTGACCTAAGCCCTTAATGTATGCTTGTATTTGCAACCACATTATTTGGTCAAACAAAATTTTAATGGTTATAACATGTCATTAGATAGCATGCAACCAAGTATCCACTCGAATGTGAGCGTTTAGACCCGCCCACTGCTTTCCAACTGTTTTCTTCCACTTCAGGTGCGTCAAAACTGCTTATTTTTAATAGAAAGTTCGTTCTGAACTTGCCTCACAATAAATAAAACAATTCCTCCCACAACAATAATATTTTTTAACCGAATTGTTGTAAGTATTAGTATCGAAAAATAAGTTTTCTTGATCGTGAACTATAATATTAAGAGTTCGACGTAAACACAAAGTTGTCAATAATCTGATACATATATCGGCTCAAGGGCCTAGTGAATGATGGATGACAAATTCCCGATGCGGCCCGGGCGTCCGACTTCCCGTCCCGACGCCTCCACCCCTTTTTCTAACGTCGTTTTCCGTTACAACGACGACTACCGTCGCCTTGCACTTTACACAAAACCTCCGAAAACAAAACGCTGCCCTAAGTGTCATACACGCGTCGGGCGAGAAATATGAGGCATCCCCAAGACAAATTGCAACAAAAACGGAACTCACACCAATCATATATCTCTTACGTCTCAGATTTTCTCTTCTTTCATACTGAAGATGGACAAGGAATACACATCAATTTCTACAGAGCCATTATCATGAACACTAGAGTACACACACACAAGGGAAAGGGGAATTTTTATCGCTATTTTATTTTCTCATCCAGTAAATGGAATCAGTGACGGATTGTGTATGTGAGGCCTTAGGGCTACGTGTTGACTTGTATTATTTGTTATCATTGTAAAGATAATATCCACCTACATTATCTTATTATATTCCTTAATAAAACCCCGTAATCCTACAATAGAATTAAACACCAGTTGAAACAACAATCTTCTCATCGTCAGAAAAATGCGAAGAGAATCGAAAAACTTTTGATAGATACTTACTTATATTGTCACGCAGTGAAATTTTAATGAAATTCAAAAACCATTTTAGACTTGAAAACATATTTCAAAATTAATTAAATATTTCATAATTATAGCGTTGCTATTGGGATCCGTCAAATGGGAGGAGCCTAAAAACATGGTGCCGATTAGGGAAAATTTATCGTAAGTTCGTAGTTCCTATAGTGTACCGTGCAATTTCCAAGTTTTTAAATTACGATAAAATGATAAGTATTGACACAATATGTGATTGGGCTGACACAAAGCCTCGGAAAGGAAATTTCGTTGAAGGTGAGCGTGTTTTTAATGCCAATCACATTATAAAATTCGGAAATAACAAATCCGGAAGCTAGCCTTCAAATTCCGTCAAGTTTACTGCCTACTTTTTACAAACTTCGGATTTAAAAAGTGATTCACGTTATATAATTGGTGAGGTGATTCTGGGTGATTTAAGCAATATCATATCAATGACTTGCACGTGCAAAGCCGATTTAAGAGAACGTTGCAAACACATTATTGCAACTTTGTTGTATTGCAGCAGGTAGGTTCTTAACCTCAAAATACTTATATCGTATCATTAGAATTGTGTTAAATCAATTACACGGGAATATATAAAGGGAACAAAACGGATAAGGACTGATTAGTAATTGGAGGAATTTTGGTTTGGTGGTAGTTACTAGAGAATGCTGTGGTGGGATTATCAAGTGGTAGACTGACATCTTCTGAGAAACCTTTCAACTAATTAATGTCTTTCAGAATAAGACGTGCGGCCGGATTAGAAATGCTGTTACTGTTTGTATCAAAGCTGCAGATCAAATAAAACAGACCCATCTTGGCTTCGGTCCGGTTCATTTTTAGTCAGGCGAAAGGACCTGGGAAGAGAGCGAGGGGCTGAGACGGCGTCCATTAGGATTATTGGCCAAAGGACTTTACGAACGAAAAATACTAATGAACATCTTTCATTCGAAACCGGCGCTTCAACGAACGGGAAGACACCGAACTAATTTAATTACTTTTTTAAGGTTAATTAAATCTTCGTAGACGGACTGGCATAAACCAACTTTGGCCGAAACAAATAACCGAAAGACAGGGACAACAACTTCATAAAAGAAAACATAAACAAGCAACAAACGGATCTGTTACGACAACAAGTTGAAACAATGAAATTAGAAAGAAATATGCAACAACTAGTTAGTCTAGTATAATAATAGAGAAAACGATAGAAAAAGGAAAGAGTGCGTACATAGGATTTGTAGATTTAGAGAAAGTTTTTGACAATGTTAAATGGGACAAGATGTTAAATATACTTAAAAATGTAGGGATGAGTTACAAAGATAGAAAAGTGATAGTTAGTTTGTATAAAGAGCAACAGGCAGTTATAGAGCTGGGGCTGCAACGTAGAGAAGAAAAGGGGAGTCAGACAGCGATGCACACTGTCACCGCTACTTTTTAATCTATACATAGAAGACGCCATAAACATCATTAAAGACTACAACTGTAGGGATAGATGTGCAAGGGCAAAAGATTACTATGCTTAGATTTGCAGATGATATAGCAGTATTAGCGTCTAGCAAGGAGGACCTAGAAATAGCTTTAAATAAAATGGAAGCAGTCCTGACAGATCAGTACTGTATGAAAATAAATAAAAGTAAAACTAAAATACTGGTATGCAAGGGAAGAAAAAGAAGGGAAAGAGCGAATATAAAGATAGGAGACGAAAAATTAGAAGAAGTGGCTGATTTTAGATACCTAGGAAGTCAGATTAGTCAGGATGGAAGGAGTAGTAGGGATATAAAGCAGAGGATAGCGCAGGGTCGTGCAGCCTTTAATAAAAAGATAATTAGAAAGATTATGAAAACAGAGGACTTTATGGAAGTCAATAAGAAATAGACGAAATAGGTTGGTAGAACACCTTCTCAAGCATGAAGGTCTAGTCAGAGACATATTAGAGGTAAAAACAGCAGTTAAGAGGGGTAGAGGTAGACCTAGATTAGATTACTGTTCGCAAATAGTTAAAGATGTGGGCTGTTCTAGTTTTAGGGAAATGCGAAGATTAGCTCAGGATAGGAAAGAGAGAGAAAACGTACAGGAATGTTCTCTAATAAAATAATGTGATCATTATCTTTGGAATTATGTTTTCATCATTATTAAACGCTTACAACAATTATACTTATCATCTTTCATGATATCTCTATTTTTTTCTGAAATGGCTGAAATGACGGTCATTTTGCTGGAATGCTAATACATTCTAAAAACGTCAGACACATGCAGACGCATATACAGTCAACTTTAAAATTCAAAAAGTGAAATAATTTATTTCTTTTTTATATAACTTTTCAGTCTTTACTTGAATTAAAAGTAGCAGCGTTCTCTATTGCAATAATTATATGTAAAATAATTATTCCAGACATTCTAAAGGAGTGAAAATGCATGCAGAATTTAATAGTGATAAAAATTTTATTCTATTTGAAAATTTGTATTCACTAAACTTTAAAATGTTAATATTCTGTCCAAATTTTGCAGAAAATTCTACCTTCTCAATGAATTTTAAATTTTTACAAAAGACTTCTCTGTAGATGTGAGCAACGATAACATTTCTAAAAATACTTTGGCTTTTTTATTAATTTTGCTGATGATATTTTAATAATAAAATTCAAAATATTATGAGAATGGGGAGCCT